TTCAAGATATATCATAATTTATTACTGTTTATTCTGATGAAATGGACTGAATACTTTTGAAAAAATTAGTGCTTACCTCATTCACTGAAACTATTTTTTAACTAAAGTGTCACTTATTGTTTTGAAAAAAAACCAAACAAAATTACATATGGTAGATAGGTAGAACTAATTTACTTTCCTCAAAATCAATGCATTGATTCATATATCCGCCTGTTTTTCAAAATAGAGGAACGTTTCCAATAAATATGTCATCATATGAAATTTTTTCAGCACCATATTTTTCTATACAGAAAGTGTGGATTTTTTGATGAAGTTGAAATGCAGTCCCTATTCATTTTTCTCACATTTTTGTGAAATTCATCAAATAATATTTACATTGCCTATGTAGAGAATCATGTATATAATGTTGCTAGCATGATATTACAGCCAAAAGTGAGTTATTTAAGGTGACATTTTGATAACCTTGTGTTCAAGAAGAACTACTATAGGACCAAAAGAAATTTTTGGTACTTTCTGTTATCTCAGTACCTACTTTCAGTGCCTTATTTCATATAGCTGTTGAGTTAGGTGCACAAAGTACAATCTGATTTTGGGAGGTGGTTAGGTAAAGTTAGGTTAGGTCAGGTTATGTTAATTGAAAGATAATTGTAACTAACATAACCTGACCTAACCTAACTTTACCTAACCGCCTCCCAAAATCAGTCTCAGCAGATTGCGGAAAAATAAAATTCACAGTTTCTGGTACGTTGTTGTGATTATAAACTTGTCCTAAAGATTTGTTTGGATGGTAGTGGGGTCTAGGAATGAGGCACAAAGATAACAGGAAAGTAGGTACTGAGATAACAGGAAAGTACCAAATTTTTTATAACAAGATTCATTGTAACATAATTTTACTTTATCTATGATGAAAATGCATAATATTGGCTCAAATGAGCATCACATTTGGAGTTCTTTGGTAGCCAGTATGTGATGCAGTATTATTTGTCCAACAAGGGATATGTACTAGACTGCTGATGAATCATCCATTGGTATAAGACACTCCTTTTTTAATATTTTCACCTGTGAAAATTGGTCTATTTTAACTTTCCAACACATGTTCATGGACTCACCTGTCTTGAGTCTTCTGCGGATGGCAGTTTTGTTGAGCTCATCATCCATGAGCTTCATGGCCTTGTACAAGGGCTTCACTTGCTCCAAGGGAACAGCAAGGAAAGTATCTCTCACTTGGTTGTTGTAATTCAACCTGAACACTTCTCCATACCTGTCCCTCCTGAAAATTCAAGAAAATTAGGATATACTAAAGAACTTTATTTAAACCATGACTGGCTAAAAGTAAAGTAAAGAATAAGGTGAATCTTTAGACTTGGACTTGAAAACCTGTCTCATCTCTGACAATGTTTCTACATGCAGTCAACCCCCATCTAATGCACTTAATTTTTGTAATTATAATTATGTTGCTAAATGAAAAGTAGGTTAGACCAATTTGCTTTTCCTATACGTTTACTTGTTAAAAATTTAAATTTGACCAACGTGTTTTTGGCAGATTTGAAAAATTTGATGGGATGAAAAACTCTCTACTGTCTGATGATGAAGAGTTTCTCTCCCATTGGCCAGATGTCGCACTTATTGCCTCTCCATTACATGAAGCCAATGCAGCTTCATCTAAAAGCTTCAGTCTGAAGATATTGTATACTGAGACCCTGATATACAGATGCCCTGTGATGAATAAAATTCAACTTAAGGACACTTGAAACTAAAAAGTGTGCCACAACATCTGGCAATGTCTTGAGATGTTCAACTTTTTCAATGCTTATTGAAAAATCAAAACATTTCATAGCTCAAAAATTTGATACCTCATCTTGAGCAATTTATTGAGCTAACATCTGTATCCACAACAAAATTTATAAATTTAATCTCTTTTATTTGAAAATAAACTGGTCAATTTTTAGCTTTGTTTTTAGTTTTTCTCATCATCTGTGCACAAAATATCATGAATTGATTTTATTCTTTGCTTCTTGAGCTCCTTTCTGGTGCCAAAATATCAGATTCTGTACAGTTTTTCTGCAGTTATTTTCTGTATCTTTAAATTGAGGAAAAAATTTTTTGAAATTTTTGGGGAATGAATATAGGAGAACCTATTGAATATATGTTTGCATGGAAGTGAGACCCCAAGATATGGACATAATTGGTGCTTGAACACTGTACCTTTGCCAGAATATCTGCATGTTGGATGACCTTGTTTCTCATAGACTTGAATAAGAACTCATTCAATTGGTACTCCAGTTCATGGAAAATTAGGAAAAACCCCAAAAAGTCTGAAAAAATTTGTTTCTCAACTTGAATATACAGAATGTAACTATTCATAATCAAGAAACTCACACAGAATATGATCATTTGGAATGAAAAGGACTCAAAATTCTGAAGAAAAAGTACAGTACTGTATAAATTTTGCTATTCAATGCATATGTACAATAGAATGAGTATAGATGTTAGAGAATGTTGGGAAAATTAGCACAAAATTAGCCTGGTTTTGCTTATAAATTCAGGTAAATATATGATGTATTCCGTTTTAACTTCTGTGAATGTAAATAGCTCAATAATTTGTTTCAGAGATATTCAAATTTTCAAATTTTCTTGAAAGGCTGAAAAAGTGTCTGATGTATGTTGAGATTTTGTCCAGATGTTTGGCCGAATTTTTTAAATTTGCAAGTGCCCCCTAGAGTCAAATTGTCCACATGTCCGCATTTCAGGGCCTCACTGTACATAAGAAATGTGATCCAACATGCATACAATCCAACATAGGGACAATAAGTCCAAACACCAATTACATCCGCATCTGAATGCATTCATTCCTTTTACATTAGCAGCGACACCTATCGATTTTACAGGAAAACTCTGCATGCGTTGCATCTGCTGAGACTCAGAGAGAACAGCATCCGTTTAGCGATTTGCTTTCATTAGATAATTTCTTCTGCCAAAATTCCCTTGCGCAACGCGTTGTTTAAAAATCATGCGATTAATCGAGCTGCAGTGAAAGGTATAATTACTCAATAATGGGTCTTCTCTGGAGCTTGTGAAAACGGTAAAAATCGGATCCGATGTCGTGGAAATCGACCAGGACATTGATCAGCAAGTCATAGGCCTCAGGGTCTAAGGTTTTCACTTTTGCCGCTATCGACATGCCATCGGCGAATACACTCTCTCCACCAAGACTTCCTTCTGCTTGTTTGATACAGTGGAGAAATTGTACCTGCGGAAATGAAATAGATCAATCGATTTTCATTTGCTGCATTTAGTTAGTTATTGATGGTCAGAAGTATAATTTTTCAAAATTATAGACATTTTTTTTTTTCAAATTTTGCACACGATTTGTCTGCTGTGTGTATAGAGAGAGTATACGAGGGTTTTCCAATCTTAACATAACCCCTGATTCAAATCAAGTGTGATTGTAAAAACGAAAAAAAATAATGTTTGACATAGGTCAAGATGTTTTGAGGTCCAGGGATTTTTTTCGGATTTTTGAAAAAGTTTTTCAATTTACTGCATGATGGCAAATGAAAACTTTCCATTTACAGCCAGAGGTCTCTGCCCATGTCCCAGGGTGCTGAGACTGTTTCAGGCCAGCCATACATTTTCTTTCAACCATTTTTCAAAGTGTAGAAAAGATAAAGGCTAAATAAAATAAAACTATTTTAGTGTGTGAGAATTTTTTTTTTAGCACCCAATGATGACATGGGTGGTGGACTCTGACAACTGTCATTGGAAAGTTTTCAAATATCATCATTCAGTAAATGATAATTGTTTTGGTTTTTAATCAGAAAAATTGAATTATTTCAAAACATCAGGGGCAATTGTCAGGAAGATATTCTTTAAATCAAATCACCTCCTGTAAGAGTATTGGACTTGGACATCACTTGTAGCTGACATCAATCTTTTGATCTGTTCACTGATGAAGCTTTACTTGGCTGAAATAAAATGTGATGTGTTTGCTGATACTGTATTTTAATTTTTCCAACAATAATAACGCAAAATTAAGTATTGTTCAGAATGGAATGAGCTGAACGTTATGTGTTTTGGCAATTATTTTATCCTGTTTTGTTCCAAAGCTATTGGTTTTTTTTTAATTTTTATCTGCCTATTTTGAAAATTTCCCTGATTTTTTCCTGTGATAAGTAAGGGTGTCATAAATCATAATTTAATCAGAATGACTCACCCCAGGCATGTAGTCATAGTACACCAGATCTGTGTGCAGTCCCAGTGCTGCTCCAGTGTAGGCAAGATTGCTGGGCTCCATTTTCACTTTCACAGGAAATTCTCTTCTGCAAGTCATTCATGTTACAAGAAAAATGTTGTAGTGGTCAGAAATCAAATCATGGTAGTACTGTATATTTGCAAATATACACAATGTATTCAGACTGTCAGAGTAATTACCATTGGCAGAAATGTGTGTTTTTTTTCAAACTGGATTGAAAACCAATTTAATCCTCTTTTTGAAGTTTCTTTTTGAATTTGAAGTTTCTTCCCTCTCTATAAAACTTGTGCAAAGAAAGATTGCATACGAATTCTTTATGATGGTACTAAATTTATTACAATTAAGGAATGAAACACAAAGTCAAGTGCAGTACCATATTTGCTTGAGTAACATGTTTTCTCATGTTAGATCCACACTAGGATTTTTCAGTCAAAATTTTCTCCCTGAGTAAGATGGGTACCCAATTTTTAGTGACTCCAAAGCTGCCATATTTGACAAATGAGTACAGCCAAATTGGAATTCAGACATCAATTGATCTTGAATGCAATTAATTTTCAATTATTTATATTTGAATGAGTTTTTGTTAAAATTGGTCCAAAATGTCCAATTAGAGCACCCAAGCTATTAACATTTTAAAAATGTATCCCTGAATTTGATGAGCACCCTCTTTTCCCCTTCTAAATTCCATGGGAAAGGTGCACATTATGGTACTTGACTGAGTACTTTTACTGACACTTTACTAATCGTCTCACCCATAATTAGTGGCCCTGAGGAATGCGACCCTGTCAGCAAGTTTGTGAATCATCCCTTCCATTGGAGGGACATTTTCCAATAGATGAATCCCATGGACCTCTAGATTGACCAAGAATTCCAACAACTTTTCATCAGATGTCAGCACTTGTCCAAACTGTCCCTTGGGAATGTCTTTGGGTTGGAAATCCTCTTTCCACATGATTCTTTTGTTCCTAAGCAAAGTTTCTCGACTTTTCAATGTTTTTTCGTCATCGAAAATGTGTTGCTGAAGCCAGTCCGGGTTCCACAGGGACTCATGCCCGTCTTGCCAGGTTACCTTCACATCTGAACCCTCCAACTGTGAATAAAAGAAGAAAGAGGCAAGGAAAAGAGATAGTCATGCATTCAAAAAGGACAGCCTTGATTCTTTTGTTAGACCCGCCATCCTAGTACAGTCAACCCTTGCTTAATGTTTTTAGTTGGTGCAGTGGGAAAAAACATTAGCTGAAAAAATGTTAAGGGAGGTAGTCTCTCACTTAAGATATAAGGGAGAAACAATGAATTGGTGTCAGGCAAAACTTTCTAAAGGTAAAATTCAGGAAAAAATTAATCAAAGAGTGTATTCCAACAACTGAGCTTAATGCACTGCCATTACATTCAAAAAGTAACCACAGTTCTTCACTCAATTCCAAAATTCAGTGTCAATTACCCAAAATTCAGTGTCTGACACTGCAATTGTTCATAAAATAATTGTAACACCACACCACCACACAGGAAACACATTTAAAGCTGTGGAAAAAGTCACATGCAAGAAAATCTACAGGAGGGAGGGAGGGAGGTGTCCACATTGATCGCAGTGCCGCACAACTGAGGAACGTTGTGCGGATTTTGGAACGTTAAGCAAGGGGATTTTTCTCACAGGACCAGGAATGTTATGCAAAAAAACGTTCAGCAAACAGAATGTTAACCAAGGGTTGACTCACTTAGTGCCACAAATATTTCCCTGTCCTAAATGAAAAATAGGCCAAAATCTGAGAAATTGAGGCATATTTGGATATCACTAAGGTTTCACTGAGATTAACATAAGCACATGCTCAGGATAATTTAAAAAATGCTTTTTCTAAATTCACACATAAACTGGGTAGTTTTATTTGAAGATCCTACACAGCAAAGAGCATCTAAATTATTGGGATAGTCTTTAAAAAATTGAAAACCACTTCACCTGATCTTCAAACTGCTGTGTGCTCTCATTGCAAAGTTGATATACAAAGCTCCCAAAACAGTTCCACTCTTTTACTTGACACAACTTGTGCAAAAGTATGTATACTGGACAAAATTGAAATAATACAGTAGAAGCATTTCATGCAAGCCTCAAATTATTTTTCTTACTTTTTTATAAAACAGGTTAACTATAGTCCAGAAATCTGCAAAAAATCCTGTTTTTCTTATAGTAAAAACCCTCAAGTGAATATTCTTCTGATACAGGACCTCCAATATAGTGCCCACCCTCACTTAGTGCCACAAAATGTGCCAGGACAAAGCCATGGTACAGGTGGTACCTTGCAATTTGACCTGCAATTCCACCATCCTAAATTTTTACGGTTTAATTTACTGGGAGGTTGACTTGCAATTTGACCCTTGCCCCACAATTCAACCAGCTTTGACCATTTTTTTTTTACTTGAAGTTGTGAATTTCAAGGAGTGTTTCACAATTTGACCAATTTTCAATTCAACCCTAGTTCAGCAACTGATTAGAGTCAAATTTCACGGTACCTCTTGTAGTAATTTTGGGATATGAGTCTACTTTATATTGTACCTTGACTTCAGAAGGAAAACAGTCCACGTCCAGGTCCTTCATGACCAGTAACCTGGCCTTGGCCGACGGCTGGAAGCACTTCGGGCATTGGCAATTGTCTCTGAGCCAAACCCAGGGGTACCTGGCCACTTCCCCATTTCCCCACGACACTTCCAAGTATTTCGAGCACCCACTGATCCTTGCTTGCGCAACCTTGGGTTTTGGGTTGCGGCCAGATCTTGAAACCAGTCCCGACGATGCTGCTGCTTATTTAATATATACCCAAGAGGGTCAGTGAACCAGGATGAGAGAAAAGGTCGAGTATAGATCAAAGTCATCTATCTGTTAGTGTTTCGTTATTTATTCTATACACGATTCTTTTTCGATTTTATTATCTTCTGAAGTTGATTCTTGTTTATATACAGTACTCACCTAATGCTGCTGAGGATGTTGATATCGTCCTTGATGATGCTGATGGAAACTTCTGATTTGAAAATAAAGTTCTCGCGATAATGTAAGTAGTTTTTGAAGAGTTTTTTACAAGGTCGCGAGACGTTCTGAAGGCTAGTTTCAGCATGTTTGTACCTCTGTCTTATTTTTTTTTTTGTTGCAACAGCGATTTTTTTATTGCTTCCTTGATTCTACAGCGATTTCTGCATTTTCGAACCTTTTTTTTTCTGCGCAGGACAAAATAGAGAAAAACATGTTGACAAATATGTTCTGGAAAATTGTGATTAATATCGGTAGCAAAGCAGAAAGAAAATGAAAATTTGATTTAATTACTTGCAAATACAGTGAGACCCCCATATGCGGACGCCTTGACATGGGGACGATTTGACATGGGGACATTTATTTTTTAACAAAAAAAATCATAAAAAAGACCTGGCATGAGGACACTGACTCAACCTGGGGACATTGCAGGATAAAATTCCAAAATAAATTTTAGGAAAATCAATTTTTATAAGGCTTAATTGCAAGAAACAGATGTTTCCAACCTAAGATCTGTGCAAGAAAAATTCTTTGGTACTTTTCCCATCATTTTCCCATCCATTCAGCTAATTGAAAAAATGCCCTATATCACAGAGCTCTCCTAAAAGCTCTTCCTTCTAGCTCTCTTTGTGACATGGATGTTATTTTTCCAAATGCCAACTTTTTAATTTACTGTACAGAGGTACACTATTCAATGTTCCAAATGTTCTTAACGGTTTGAAAAGGTATTCATTGAATCAAATTCAAGTGGCAAAAAATTTTTTTCATGAAATTCTGAAGAATATTTCGTCCATAAAACACCAATTAAAAATTATACAATGGAAGTCTATGGGAAAACAAGATTCAACTTGGGGACAATCCAACATAGGGACACTCTTGATGCACCAATTATGTCCGCATCTGGGGGTCTCACTGTATTGGCTCTCTTCTGAATAAGAAATGTGTGAAATTATCTGCCATGATTGAATCTTTAAAATGCGTGAGAGTAACTGAAATTGCATACAGCTTCTTTATAAGGTAAAGTAGTAGTTTACAACCTCTTAACACAATAAACCTGTGGAAGAATTGTTGTACTGCACATTTTGTATGGTTATGCATGAAAGTCTTGATGAAGTTGAGAGGGTGATTTTTAAATTTGATAACCTGTGGAAATGGTCCCCCATCATGTCAATGCTGAAGCCAACAGGAAGGTAGCAAATTGAGTATTGAAATCCCTTTATGCATTGTCAATTTTCAACGACTTATTTATTCATACAACACCATAAAAAAAACAAATCCAACATAGTAACAAACAGAACTCCAACCAGATTTTACTTATTTCACTGCCTTAACTTGGATTTCATTCTCCTTGGCCTCTCCTCCAACATGATCAACATTTTCAGTAAGAGTTGAATGGTTTTCATCAGCATGTGTGATTTGTTCAAAGAATATTGGTTCTACCAAAGTAAACTGATGTTTTTGAGGGCCTTGAGTCTTGTCAGATTCAATTGCATCATCAGCAGGTCTGGACAAATGTTCTCTGACTGTACTCAAGTTACCTTTAATCTTATCATCCAGCATAAGTGGTTTTTCAAATGATGGGAGAACTTTGTCAAATGTCTTGTGAGTTTTAGAATGAGAGGTCCCTGTAGTTTGCTTTGGTGCTGGTTGAAAGGAAGTCCATGGTTTGATGGCTTTTTTAGGTTTTGACTCCACTCCTGGCAATTTGTGTGAATTGTGGCCCTTGGGTGTTTCAATGTCTAATGCATCTTCTTCTTGAACATCCACTTCAGACTCCAGTTCTTCTGCTTTCTCAACTTCTGGTTCAGGAACTGAAACTTCCTCTTCATTCTTGTGACTTTTGGATTTAAAGTCAGAGTTGGCACCTTCTTCTTCCATCAGGTGATCAACTTTTGAAATGAATGAGGTGGAATAATGCAATTTTTCCTTATTATTGTAACTTTTAGGTCCAAATTTTGCAAAGACTGAATGTGGTTCTGCATCACCTGGATCTTCTTCTTCTTCTTCTTCCTGCTTCTGATGTTTAGATTTCAAGTTGTTGACAATGGGTTCAGATTCTGTGCCTGGTTCTTCTTCTTCTTCCTCCTTTTGGCCTTCTGGCTTATTTAAAGTGGCACTGTTGGAGTCATGCTCATCCACTGATTTTTGTTCCTTCTTCTTCTGACCTCTGGGTCCAAAATTGGCAAAAACAGATCCTGTCAATTTTTTGTTGTGGCTGTTTTCAATTTCATGTTTGAATTTTTGATGATCTGAATGAGATGGTGTGTTTGAAAATGTATTATGAGGCTTCCAGTATGGTCTTCTTTTTGGCACCTGTGGAGCTTTGACTGCTTTTTCCTCTTCTTCTTCTTCTTCAGTTCATTGAATAAAATTCAAGCACCAAAAATTTTTTTCATGAAATTCTGAAGAATATTTCTTCCATAAAACACAAATTAAAAATTATATAATGTAAGTCTATGGGAAAACAAGATTTGACTTGGGGACAATCCAACATAGGGACACTCTTTATGCACCAATTATGTTCACATGTGGGGGTCTCACTGTATTTCCGCAGAACTTTCATAACAATGAATTTTGTTGCAAAAATGGAAGTTACACCCCCCCCCCCCACAAAAGTCATGACAAATATATCCATGAAAAATTATTCAGGTTAATTTTTAATATAAAAAAAACAGATGTCTATCGCTACTTTTAAATTATTTTTCAAAATAGGTAAAAGATTTATGATTTTTTCCCAAAATTATGTAATTCCTTCCTTTGAATACGTGCAAGCAATACTTGATCAATTTGATCTGACGTTTTTAAATCTTCTCCAGTTTCAGTTTTGTTTCAGGTTTCTCAACGTTTTGGACAGACGACATCCTGGATCAAATCGCGGAGTTGAACGTCAACACATTGATTATTCACTGATCGGCTGATTTTTTTATTTTTATTTTCGATTTATTTATTGTTTAAACTGGCCTCTGATGGACTCAAGTTTCAACAGAGTGATCACACAAGCAAGACACAACACAGACTGGTGGAATGAAAATGTGAAATCTCTTGATGTCTCAGCCCGAGCAAGACACAAAAGAAGCAGACTCAGGAAATGGAGAGATTGGATATCCTGAGCTTTAATCAAGTTTATCTCTTGGCGGGATAAAAACGGTGGTTTTTCAGAAAGATGTAAACATTTATTGTTGAGTCAGAAACAAATAAGGGCTGAAAGATGAGATGCCAGCTTGAGTGGGTATCGTATTAATGTTTCCCAAAAAAAAAGTCCTCAAATTCAACTTGAAGTATGATGATTCAGACTATTATTTTGAAAGTTGAGATTCCACACATTTTCTTCATCATATTTCACTTTCAACGTAAATACAGTATACAAGTAGAGAAACTGCAATTTTCCAAATGGAGAATATAATGTGAAGGTGCAATAAATAAATAGGCAGCAATTTTTTTTAAATACTGCTGTATATTAAAATCTCATCAAAATTAACATTATGAGAGACTTTTTGAGAAAAAGTGTTTTCAACTGAATAGTTTATTATTTTGAGATTTTAAAAACAATGACATGGAAAATTTCACATAAGACCTCTCTATAATCAATTAGTGCCCAACTCAGAAGTGGCCAAGGGCCAAATTGAAACAGTAAAGCTTTATGCAGGCCACAATCAAAATATCAAATGTTGTGCATTGTATTAATAATGCATTTCTGGGATGATTGATTCCACACTATTTGCCTTTCATCAAGTTCAAGGAATTCAGAACTGTGAATAATTGAATTACTGTATTCTTTCTTTTCTGGCATTCAAATATTTTTTTAAAACATTGTTTGAAAAACTGAGTGATGATCTTATAAAAAATATAGCTTGAATCATGCATTCCATCAGTTGTACCAATCTCTTCATTCTGGATCATTTGTGGATGCATTTTTTTTCACCCCAAAGTATTTTTGTCCACTCTGAAGCATTTTTTTCACATTGAAGCATTTTTCTCCACTTTGAAGCATTTTTGTCCACTTTGAAGCATGTTTGTCCACTTTGAAGCATTTTTGTCCACTTTGAAGCATGTTTGTCCACTTTGAAGCATGTTTGTCCACTGTGAAGCATGTTTGTCCACTTTGAATCATGTTTGTCCACTTTGAAGCATTTTTGTCCACTTTGAAGCATGTTTGTCCACTTCAAAGCATATTTGTCCATTTTTTCCCCTTTGTATCATGTTTGTCCATTTTGTCCCCTTTGTACTATGTTTGTCCATTTTGTCCCCTTTGTATTATGTTTGTTCATTTTGTCCCCTTTGTATTATGTTTGTCCATTTTGTCCCCTTTGTATGATGTTTGTCCACTTTGAAGCATGTTTGTAAAATCTATTACATGCAGCTCTCATCCATAATCCAAGTACAGTTCAGTTTCATTTGGCACCAGAAATCTCAGACTGTGCCTGCATCAGGCAGAAAATTTCCACATGGAGAATCTGAACATTAAACAAATTGGGTTTTACACAGTTTTTTAAATATAAGATTGTTCCAACATGTAATCTTTGGGCTTTCTCCTGGGGCTTTAAAAAAGCTTGTTAGACTGAAAATTGTATTTCAATGGTACTTGTTCTAAAAATATTTTACTGTATGTACATTCAAAATCTAAAAATGCATCTGAGAAGACAACGTTTCTTTCGCTGCTATCAAAAACGGTGAATCATACAAACCGGTTTTGATTAGCATTTTCCATCTCGAAAACATAAGACATATACGGTGTGTGTTTTTCTTCACGATTCCTTTTGATCAATACTCATACGCATCTGAAATAACGAGCTCCAGTTTTCTTTTGCAATGTTGTTATGCATTAAAGATGAGGCCGGAACTTTGGGAAAGTTCCTTGAGATTCTGAGTATCCAAAAGGGTTTGCAAAGATATGGGAGAAACGAGCCCCCGCCTGAAACTTGGTCCCAGCAACAAAAGGATTATGTTAATGGCAAGCTTTGCTTGATTTTTCAAACTGCTGTCTGGCAAACGTTTTTCAAGCATCATTCGTATTAGGAAAATTGTTTTCTTGGAATATGTACAGTATTTTTTCAGTACCTAGAAGCAGCATCTTTTTCTGGAAATTTACACACACAAAATGAAGTGCACTTTTCACATTTTTTTCAGATAAATCTAGAAACTCTGGTCTCTGAATAACATTTGAGGCTCAGGATCCGTTTTCAAACATTTTTTGCTAAACAATAGAATGTATTTGTTTGATATTTGAACTTGTTTATAATACAATTTGTACTCAATCCATTTTTGAAGCATCAATCTGCTGTGAATTTCAATGTTTTTTTTAAATTTATTGATAATTTCATGTAAGTTAATCAAAGTAAAGGTGTTATTAGCATGATGGTGTGAAAATTTTAGAGATTTCAGGATTTACAGCTCTGAAGTATTTTATCCTGTTTGAAAAAAATTCACAAACAGGTTTGCCATGCTATGGGACTTTATTTGCCAAATTTTTCAGAAATATGGAGAAAAGTAGGAATCTACCATGAAAATTTTGTTTAAATTTTATTGTAAGTACAAATAAAAAAATCAAACAGTCATAGCTCATGAGTTTTTAAAAAGAAATAAATCACTGAGAAGTGAAAACTGGGGTCAGTCTCTTCCATGGGATTTGGTTTTCCTAAATTTTTAAATATTGAGAATTGAGGTGTATTTCTTTCCAAATGATTGATGGTACTATAGAGTAAACACAATGTGCTCCTCAGTTTCTCAATTATTCTAATCCATAATCACATATTGTTATATTATATTCATATTGAACAGAAGCAGCATTCAGAGTTCAACTTTATCTTTAAGCAAAACCTTTATTCATCAGTACAGGCAAGCCTCAAACAATGCACTTGATCTGTATAAAATCAAGTCCGTTGTGTGAAAAGTCTGTTATGGGAATTCAATTATTATAAATTAAAATTTTCACTTTTTTTACCATAAATTTTAAACCAACAGTAGAGGTCTTTTATAGGCAGATTTAGTCTGTTGTGTGGGAGGAAAAATTTCCTCCAAAGGCGGTCTGTTGTGCAAAAATCCATTGCATGGGAGGTCTGTTGTGCAGGGCTCAACTGTATTTTCTATATTGATTCATGCAAAACACCAAAGAGTGCATCAATTTAAGATAAGATCCTTCATTCATTTACTGAACAACTAAGATCAACATTTTTAATTGCTGAAAACAAAATGTCAATTCAAAGGAGCTGATGCCTTGTGCTTGGCAGAAAGCATTCAATCAGCAGGAAGTTGAGAAATCATATACAGTGATCAACATGTAAATAAAGGTTACAAGTATGATCATTTTGATGCTTTTGTATTTCTTTGATTCATTCCAAGTGATCATTTTGCCATTTAAATCAAAATTTCTGAAAAAAACCAGGGCTTTGTGCTACTGCAATCTTCAGAAATGTTATAAAAAATTATGATTTACAATTATTTCAGACAAAGTTTTACATATCATAGGTTCATAGAATGCATTTACAAATTTTCAAAATCAAAATTTTGAGAGACAATTACTACTTTGAGACCTTTTCAATAACTATTAGGTCTGCATAGTAAACTGTGAATTTTTCTGCACATAATTTTCAGCAGCAACATTTATTTTCTCTGAACAATGTTCCGTTCCGAAATGTAGGTGCATCTTTCTTCGAATTTAAAAAAATCTTGGAATATAGAATACAGTACATTCAGGGTACCGGCGGTGCTTTCTGATCATTTCATCTGGGCTTCAAAACATTTTCCTTCATGAAAAATAATTCACAAGGACCTCAAATAATTTTCCGAGCTCGAAATCCAATCCAGGTAGGTGCTGATTTCAGGTCCCACAGAAGGTGTGTCAATCCTACATGGAGCAGGCAAAGGGGTTTGTGTACTGGTTTCTTTCCACTGCTGTAAAATGGAAACCATTCGCTGAAACCAGGATGAAAGAGAATTTGTGCGAACTCTCGCAGATATTTCCAGTAAACTCCTGCTGGATGTTGAGCAGCCAGGGTTAGATGTCGCTGGTCTGACAAAGGAGTTGATGGCCACTAGCACGGGGGAACCTCTGGAACCTGCCACAACTGGTCCCCCACTGTCTCCCTGAAAAAAAAAAAAAAAAAATTCCAAAATCAGATAAATTCGTTTTGATTCGTTTTTGCGTTTGCGAGGGTGTGACGGCCAGGCGATGAAGGCTGGGAGTGAGGGGTTCTGGGATTTGGGTTTTTGCAGAGTTTTGCCAATAAAGGTCACAAAGATGGCCAAAACAGGTCCCAAAGCAAAAGGAAACATGACAACCATGGGCCCTAATTTAGCCCAGGAAAATTGCTGTGAAAATTAGCTTAACACACAGTAATACTCCCCAAAGTGATTTGAAAAATAATTTCTATACCAACAACTCCAATCCATTGGTCTCAACTGTATTTATGGTACAATTATTATGCACCCAAAAATTGTTGTAATTTTTGGTACTTTTGCTCTTATGAAAAACTCTTATGATGGGTGGGTGTATGCAACATACGCGTAGGATGTCCAGTTTTTATTTTGTGGAGTGTGTTCTCTTTTGTTTTTGTCATTGGTTTGTGCTTTGTTTCATGCTTCGAAGTGATTGAATGTCTTTGGGGAGAGGGTTTGGATGCGGGAGTCTTGGTTGTACCTTGTGAATGGTGAAAAGTGGCAAATAAAGTTTTCTGTTCATTCATTCATTCATTCATTTCCTCCCCTTTTTCATCTGAATCTCACCTGGTGATAGGAAGCAGATGCATCCGGTTGCGAGTAAACATGCCTGGGTCGCTCCATGTTCAACTTCTGCTGTCGCACGCGGATCTCCTGCCACCGCCGGCTCTTGTCACTCTCGTCAATGAAACTCGTCTGACACCGAATTGGCAGAGACAACCGGAGGAATTCCCACGTTGCCCGCTCCATCGTCTCGAAAAACTTGTGCGATATTTTCAAGCTCGGCGGAGAATCCGAACCCGCCGGCATCCTCGTCACCTCCACGGCAGTGCCAATCACGCCGGCCGCCACGAGCTGCGCCGACACCTGCTGACTCCCGGCGCCTTCGACCGCCACGTCGTCCACATTCTCAAACATGGGCAAGTCCCGGTTGTACCACAGAGTCACGGCTCGCTTCATGTTCACGCAAAACGGCTGGTAGCCCTCTTGCAGCCCGCAGGACGAAAAGAACCGCAGGGCCTGCACGTCCTGGCCAAAAAGCACTTTGGCCCGCTGTCCCACGCTGAAGGTGAACGCTGGCACGAAGCCCGGGGAGTCGGCAGGCACAGAAATGTCCGAGAAGGCGGTTTCGCCGCCCATGGCGTCCATCATGAGCTCGCCGTTGAGCGAGAAGCTGATGGTGCGATCGACGAGGTCGAGAAGGACGCCGATGACGTCCCCGGCGGCCCATTGCTTTCCGTAGGTCTCGGCGGCGCCGCCAAACAGCTTTTCTTCGTTGCAGCCGTCGTAGGCCCAGCCGTTGTCGTCGGCGCCTAGGCCCAGGCCAGGTGGCATGGCCACTCGGGCCCAGCCGACCCGCATGGAACCCGGCGTGAGGACCTCGAATTCGTAGTACCACTTGCCCGACGTCACGGCGTATGTCTTTTCGGCGCGATACGTGCGGGTGTCGTGTTGGTTGGCGTTGGGGAGGCCGCCCATGTTGGCGGCGGTGGTGCTGGTCCCGCCGCCACCGCCGCCGCCGCCCTCTGCGTCGCTCGCGTCCCCGGAAGGCGGCTCAATCACGTATCTGCAATAACAGGTCTCTCGATTTATTGAATATCTTTTTTTTTCAATCCAATGAATAATAAATCAAATGAATATTAAATCATATAAGTTAGTTAATCAAGTGAATAAAAAAGTCATTCAGATATTCAAATGAATAAAACCTCCTATGAATAATCAAATGAATTCTCTATCATATAAATAATCATATGAATAATAAATCACATCAATAAAATAAATAAATAATAAATCTGAAATCTTAATAAAGGATCAAGATAAACTGTTGGCATTATATGATTCCTCATCAAAGATTCTCTCTAATTTGTTCATTCAACTAAACCTTTTACAGAGGCAAGCTGAAGACCTTGTGCTTTAAATTAATTTTCACATATACTTGGTTTCCAATGTCAGGGAATGAATGGGTGTATGCATACATGTCAGATGTCAAGTTGTATTTCATGGATTGTATTTTCTTTTATTTTTGTTATCAATTTGTGCTCTGTTTCCTGCTCTGAAGTGATTAAATGTCATTGAGTGGATTTGGGTTGGGTGGGAAGGGGGTTTACATACATGCCAGATGTCCAGTTGTATTTCATGGATTGTATTTTCTTTTATTTTTGTTACCAATTTGTGCTCTGTTTCCTGCTCTGAAGTGATTAAATGTCACTGAGTGGATTTGGGATGGGTGGGAAGGGGGTTTGGTTGCGGAAATCTTGATTGAACCTTGTGAATGCTGAAAAGCAGCAAATAAAGTGTTCTTTTCATTCATTCATTCATTCATTCATTCATGTACTGTATACCTATATGCAAGTGGACTCTCTCTCTCTGCAAAAATCTTGTCTCTGTACTATGTACTAAATTCTGTATGTTGGAGCATCTGATGTATGTTGGGTTCCCACTAGCTGTGTATACTGGCTGTTCATCCTTGCTCAAGAGGCATTCCAACCAGAAATTAAAGTCGCTGACAAGTCACATCACACCCCAGTACAGTACAGTAAAGTATAGTGCAGAGCAGCAGAGGGGAGCAGGATCAGCGGAAAGAGAGATAGGGAGAGCTGCGTGGGATTTGCCTCCCTGAGGACCACATCGGCAGGACGACAACGACGACGACCACCACCTGACCACCACCACCACCACCACCACGCCAACCACAATGAGCACCACAACTACTGAGCAGGAGGAGCCCCGGTCGGTCGGTCGGTCGGTCGGGTTATTTAGCATAAAGTGGAGCTATATGCGAGCCCAGAGCCAAGCCATGCAGGCAAGGCACACGGAGATAATTTAAGCCGCTTCGCGCTGGAAGGAGTGGCAATGAGGACAGTGCAGCCAGGGCCCGGAAAAACAAGCGCCAGATGCGCGATAAGGCTCGCGAGACAAGTACGCCTCAGGGGGGGGCGGAATTTATGAAAAGAGACCGGGGGAAGCGGCGGTGGCAGCGAGACAAGCCATAAAACAGGCCCGAGTGGTTTATCGTAGGCAGTGGGCCTGACCTCTGACACCGGACGCCTTCCTGTCACGCGTCACTCCGTAGGGCCCCCATTTGCATATCAACTTTTCACATTTCCAGGCTTCCATCCGCCCTCATCTCCGCAAATTCTCTCAAACCTTCCGTCGCCCGCTGGATACAAATATATTCATGTTTATTTATGCACTCGCATCCAGCTCCGAGCAGTACCATCAACTCATCCCGTCCCGAGACTCGTCGTGAACGAATTCATTTTAATGAGACCCTCTATAGTTCTCGGTTCTTCATTCATTTTATTCATACTGTATATACATATATATTTATTCATTTATTTATTTATTTGAACAACACGAACGCGCAGTTCAGCAGCAGCAGTAGTGCTAATACGTATATGTGATGGATGGGGAAACACGCAAGAAATACTTCTAATTGCTTCTTCTCAGCAAAACATCGCACATTTGAACAATACCATATGCTGTATATTGAGAAATACAGGTCACTGTTCACAGCTCTCTTTTTTTTTTTAATGAAATAGTCCGGATAAATTCAAAATTATATTTACCTGGGATTCTCTTTCTTTCTCTTTACAATGACGTTTAAGGAAACAGAAATAAGTCATTGTGGAGAGAATTTCATTGCGCAGTCAACCTTTTATTTAACTTATATGTGGTTAAGAGAACCCTATGGGATAAAAAAAAATCAGTATACAGAGACAAGATTGTTGTAGAGAGAGAGTCTGTAGGTAGATGAATCCTGTAATTAATCATTTGCTTGCATCTTGAAAAAGTGGGTCCCCTGATGGTTCGCACTGTTTAAGTACAGTGGGAGTGTGGGACCCCAAGATACTGTACCATCATAATTGGTGCTTTCATATTGTCAAATCTCATTTTCCCACAGCATTCGATGCGAACATATTTCATTTGTTCACCTGTTCATAAAAATTAGTAACACAGTCCCCAAAGCATTGAATAAAATTGTTTTCTCAATGTCAAGAAAATAAATGAACAGAACAAAACCAAACAGAATCTGATCTTCTGGCATCATAAGGAGCTCAACAAGAAAAAAATTAGAACAAGTCTCGCCATATGTACTGTGCGCACATGATGAAAAAAAAAATCTGAAATATCACAAAATTAGCCTGTTCTTCATTAGGAATGTAAATTCATGATAAAATTTATTTTCATCATTTTAAAATGTAAATAGCTCAATCTCCTTAAGTTATATGAAGATTTAAGAAAATAAAAATGTTGGATTTTTCCAGAAATGTTGGAAAATTGTCTGTATCTCGAGTTCCTGTCCAGATTTTGGGGGCAGATATTTTCCATTTCAAGTGTCCCCAAATCCAATCAATCTGGTTAAATGATTTGTCCAACAATTTTATCTGAACAACGAATTTCTTGTCCTATAGGGTCCTTGACCCATGTTATGAGGATTCTCTGCTACAAAATTATCCCTATTACGAAATTTTCTCCTTCAATTTCGTTTTAGAGTCCAACTGTAGCTTTAAATGGCTTGCCAAAACAGTGCAGCCTTGCCCAATGAATTTAGTTCATTAAAAAGGTGGTTAGATGTTCTAGAGACTTTTGACAAGCGTTCTTCGGTCTAAAAGAGGAACTCTGGCATTTTTCTTGGGAATATCTAAGCAAATATTATTGTTGATCACATTTTTGAAAGTTTGAGTACCTCTCCTCCTGAAAATTATTAATACTAAAATGATCAAAAAAATGCGTATGAAGAAGCAACTGGTATCCTATAAATTAAGCTGTGTTTGTAGGCAATCGTTCTATCTGAAAGAGGTTATTCGTAAAAAATACATCAACAACTCTGCCAGTAAATTAACAAAGTTTACAGTAAATCCACTTCCTGAAGAAATATTGTCTAAGGTACCAATGTCTCAACAGGTTGATACCTTTAGATCCAAAAAACTGTCAACGCCTGAAACCAAACGCTTTCACACACCCATGTACAACAGTACTTGAAGCCATGAATACAAGTACAATTCGAAAAAGAATTGGATTATCCTTAGGTTTTTCATTTTGCTCAGCTGTAGCAAAACATAAAATTGTATAGTTGAGCGAATAAATCCTAAAAAAAGTGCCGATGAAATGCTTTTTTATACAGTAAGTTTTAAGTATCATTTTTCTTTAGAAATGTAGAATCATTGTATTATTGTGCGTCATTCATCAAATGCGAGAGCATACTGTAATCAGTAAAATACCTCGCTGATATATTTCATAGTGAAATTCAAGCTCTATTTTAAGTGTTTAAATTCGGTGCACCAATATGATGAATTTTTTTCCAAAGATATAATTTGTGTGCAATTATCAAAAATTTATTCAACGCAAAAAAGATTTTTTTCTTACTTTTCAGCCAGGCCTGATGGAATATAACTCTTACAAATTGATGATAATTTGAATGGGTGACATAGTGAATTTTCAATTGTTTCGAAGCCACGTGAACAGATGCTATCTCTGTCTAAGAACCCCTGACCCTTCCCTTCAGGCATTTAATTTCAGGAAAGCAATTTTAGCGCATTTATATCTTTTTCGAATACCCGTATTCCGTGCAACAATTCTGCATCATAAGGGGAAAGATGCTCAGTGGGTTCCCACAATACAAAAGTATTCCACTTCCGGATGCATTTGATTCGCGGATTTTCACGATGTGCAACCTGATTTCCCCTGAGGTTCCCTTGTGATTTATTTGATTAATTTCTAAGCTGATGAACTTGACCGTGAAAAGATTCCTTTTTCGGGACGAAAAATGAGAAATATTAACGAAGGATATACTAACCAAAACACATGTGCACCAACATTTCTAAACTCATTCCTTCTCGACTCGTTCGGCAAAGTCAGGTGATAACCCCGTTAATTCTTCACTTGTTTGTTATTAGAGTTGATTTTCTCGTGTGCTAGCAGTAAACCTAATTCATCGCCCAATGAAAACATTTTATAACTTTCGACGTGCTTCCAGGGTTGACAGCTTGGAGAGTATGAGAAGTGCTTGAAAATGCACGAAGGGCCTGTGAAATACTTCTCAGGATTCCGAATGTCCCGTATTTTGAGAGACAATTTTGCAATGCGGGAAATTTTTGTTGCATCACGGGGTCATTTTTAAAACCGAGGACTCGTCGTAGTTGAATGAATGAAAAGATTGGAGGATCACCTCGTTACTTGTGCAAATGAAGAAAAAGTTCATGCTGTAATTTGCATCTGGCTTACTAACCCAACTGTTATCCGAAGTACCCGTAATTTTGAACCTGATGTCCGTTCCAACTATGACATGAGTATTCAAGCGTCTCGTGTGTAAAACTTGAACAACTTTCTCATGTGAATAGCGCTTTCAAACTGTACTTCGTATTTTATTTCACATGTACTAGGATCGCTGATCTTTCCTGTCGAATAAAACAGCGGTTTCCTCCTTGCTTCACATAATTCCATGACTTGCCCATGATCGAAGGACGTAAGGAATGATGGTAATGGTTCAAATAGCCAGTGAAGGGGAATTATTGGCGGAAAGGGGCAGCAGGATCATTTCGAGAAAGTGGCGATCATTTTTGATGGGTTCATTTTAAAAATTCGAAAGCACTTCGTTCTCATCCCACGACCGAGCTCAAGTCTTTTGGCAAAGAACTTCAAATTTGAGTACAGTATAGGCGAGGGTTTTCTCAATGCAGTAATGGCAATGGCATAAGTGAGACCCCCACATGCGGACACCTCAACGTGCGGACAATTTGACTTAGGGACACATATTTTCCCATAAAAAATTAACAAAAAAGGCCTGACATGAGGACACTGACTCAACATAGGGACATTTATGATAAAATTGCAAATAATTTCAGGCCAAATTACAAGAAACAGATATTTCCAACCCTAAACTTTATGTAAGAAAAGTTCTTGGGCATTTCTCTCACCAATTCAGCATTTATTTAGCTGATTTAAAAAAATTACCTGCAGCATAGAGGGACTTCCTTATATATTTTTCACTTGAATGATATTTTTACCAAGATTGCCAACACTTCTTACAGAGGTATCAGTATTCAATTCCCCAAATGTCCATATTGTGTGGAAATACGTTGATTGAATCATTTTAAATAATGTAAGTCAAAGGGAAAATGAGACTCAACTTAGGGACACTTTGACTTGGGGACACTCTTGATGCACTAATTATGTCCACATCTTGGGGGTCTCACTGTACTTTACCATAGATGGTTCAGTGCATGAGCATACAATAATGCTGTATTGTCTATCATTGTTGAACGTTATTGCCTTCAAAGATGTGAAAATCTCAAATGGCATTTATAACCTAGTTGGACTATAACCTTGAAAAGAAGTAAAAATGTTAAAAAGTCGACGTATGGTATCCTGCTGGCCATAGTGATGAAGTACCAGTGAAAGTCTGTAAGTCGAATACTGTGCAAAGAAACTGCAAAAAAGGGGATAAAAAGTGTCTGAGTCAGAGTATTAAACTTGATTTGTGTCCATCACTGAAGAAAAATGTTTATGGTTCAGTTTTTAGAATTTTTTATGATTTGTAGATTTGCTAAGTGCATGATGTTGCCTAATATTTGTTGAAAAAATAATTGATACATTTGATCTTCATTGGCTTGCTGGTCCTAATGCTGGACGTTAAGCGTGATACCATACTTGAATATATTCATGTTCTGTGCACGAAAATCAAAATACCCCATTATTTGCTGGAATATAAGAAGCCATGTACAGATAAATGCCATACAGTAATAAAAGACCACTCAAGA